CAGGTGCTCTCTGTGAGGGGGTGTTGGCTTACACTCCCCTATCGTAAATGGTTCCCTATCCTTCACAGAGGGTGGGTCAGACGTTGCTGGGACAGGTACAGCAGTGGAAAGGGCAGGTATACCCGGTGAGAACTTCCGGATCCCTGAGAGTTCCAGATGCCTTACTGGGAAGTTGAGTCTTTCTTGTGTAGATAGGAGAGGCCCTGGAGGGTGTGAATGAGGGAGTGACTTGGCTAGATTCCTGCTTAGGAAGAGTCACTCATGGGCTGTGCAGTGAGGGCCAGCTAGGATCTGGGCAAGGCCAGAGGCGAGTGCAGAGGCCACGCAGAGACCCTGGGAGGTGTCCCCCCAAACACTATCTGATTGGCAGTTCCTGGGCTTCAGCCTCACAGCCTCCTTTCAGGATGGATCCAGACTTTGTCCCAGCCCTGAGGCCCTGCATGACAGCAGCGTCCCTATCTCAGGGCTTCTCTTCTTCACCCCCTTTTGGGCTGTGCGCCAGCTTTGTGGGGTTGCTTTCTGTTTCTGGAGCTCACTGGGCACTCCTGGCCTTGGGCCCTCAAACACTCCCTCTCCTTGTAGCCTTCTCTGACCTCTGCTCCTGGCTCATCCTCCAGGAATTGGCCAAGGTGTCATTTCCTCTGGGAAGCTTTCCCGGAGATCAGGTGGGGCCGTACCCTTCTGGGAGTGGCTCCTTGATTCATGTGTGCTCAGCTTCCTCAGAGCCCTGCTCATCAGCCAGTTGCTCCCTCCAGAGGGGACACTGTCCGAGAGTGGGGTGGCTGAGAATGGGGTGGCAGCATCAGCTTCTATTCACCTCGGGCCCCAGCACTGGCCACTCAGGCTACAAGGGATAGACACGCATGGTTCCAATCTGGGACAGGAACAGCTGGAACAGAAAAAGGGCAGGGCTATGGGTGCGGGTGACATTCCAGACCTGCAGTCAGCCGGGGCTACTGCCTACCAGGACCCTCCAGTGGAGGATAGTGTGGGCAGCGCTCGGGGCCAGCCCTGGAGAGAGAAGGCAGCCACGAAGAAAAGGCCCCGCCCTAGGCAACTTTCTGTCTTTCCCTGAAGTTTCTGGGGTCAGAGGAGGGGGAAGAAGTGTAGGCTTGGTGTGGTGGGGCTTGGGGAGGGGTAGTATGTCAGACTCAGCAGCAATCAGTCCTCCAGAACCTGGCCAGGCCTGTGCCGCTGCCTATGTGTGGTGTTCACGTCTTTCTTTCTTTAGTTTTAGATAATTTTTAACCCCAGGAATACTAGTGACAAATGTATTTCTTTTTCTTTAGAGACAGAGTCTTGCCCTGTCACCCAGGCTAGAGTGCAGTGGCACCATCTAGGCTCACTTCAACCTCCGCCTTCCAGGTTCAAGTTATTCTCCTACTTCCGCCTCCAGAGAGCTGGGACTACAGGCGCCAACCACCGTGCCCAGCTCACTTTTTTGTGTTTTTAGTAGAGACCAAGTTTCATCATACTGGCCACACTGGTCTCGAACTCCTGACCTCAAGTGATCCACCCACCTTGGCCTCCCGAAGTGCTGGGATTACAGGCATGAGCTACTGCGCCTGGCCAGACAAAATGTATTTTTTTTCTTTTTTCTTTTTAGTGACAGTCTTGCTTTCGCCCAGGCTGGAGTGCAGTGGTGTGGTTCACTGCAACCTCTACCTCCCTGGTTCAAGATATTCCCCTGCCTCAGCTTTCCAACTAGCGTGTGGTACTACAGGTGTGTACCACCACGTCCAGCTAATTTTTGTAGTTTTTGTAGAGACAGGGTTTTGCCATCTTAGCCAGGCTGGTCTTCAACTCCTGACCTCAAGTGATCCACCTGCCTCGGCCTCTGTAAGTGTTGGGATTATTGGTGTTTGCCACCATGCCCAACCTGTATTTCAATTTTTTAATAGTAAAGAGGGGCCGGGTGCAGTGGCTCATGCCAGTAATCCCAGCACTTTAGTAGGCCGAGATGGGGATCACCTGAGGTTCGGAGTTCGAGCCCAGCCTGGCCAAATGGCAAATTCTGTCTCTACTAAAAATATAAAAGTTAGCCAGGTGTGGCGGTGCGTGCCTGTAATCCCAGCTATTCGGGAGGTCGAGGCAGAGGAATCACTTGAACCCAGGAGATGGAGGTTGCAGTGAGCCAAGCTCATGCTACAGCACTTCAGCCTGGGTGACAGAGTGAGACCCTGTCTCAAAAAACAAAACAAAAAAAATAGTACAGAGGAGTGTGAAGTGCTTTCGGTCCCAGTGTCTTTATTAGAAATGGGAAAACAAAATTTCCAGTGAGAGGCTGCAGCTTCCCTGGCTCCCCTGGGTCTCACCCCTGCCTGCGTGGAGACGGAGGCAGTCATGACCCTGTCTTGGACACTCTTGGCCTTGGCCAGGCCATGGGGTGGGGGCCTGAGAGAGTGACAGAGCTGTTTATGAGTCCTGGAGGCTGGAGGGGCCCAGCTGTTCCTAAGCTGTTTGGAAGAAATGAGGGGGGTGGGGAGGGGAAGAGGAAGGGGCCAGGTGTGGAGCAGCTGGTGGTAGATGGGAAGGAATCCCAGCTGAGGTGGGGACTCACTGGTTGCCCCGGCTTAGAGTGAAGGCGTTTGATTTGGGGGCAAGCGGGGAGGGGCAAGTGAGTTGGGCTTTGGGCCTCATGCGTTGGAGGTGACAGCACAGTCCCCAGGCAGGAATAAGGTCCTGTGGGGGAGAGGGTTGTGTCTGACTGAGAAGGCAGAGGCTGGCTTCCTGGGTGGCCAGCTGGGGAGTTAGGATGGTCCTTGGTGCAGGACCCGGGTGCCAAAGGAAGGCGGCCAGTCTCATGGGAGCTGGCTGGTGTGCAGTCTTCAGTTCCTGGTGGGTGCTCCTGATGGCCCAGAGCCAAGTGCTGGGCCCTCACTTGTTGCCAGGTGGTTCCGGGCTCTACCCCGGCCTCAGGCGCTGTCCCTGGCCTTGTGTCTCAAAGCCTACCCGCCAATCTGTCCTGTCTTCAGTGCCTACCGCATGAAAGCACTTCCTCCGCCGCTGTGGCTCTCGGCCCGCGCTTCCTCTCCCTGGCCCTGAGGACCAGCCTGACGTGTGTGGCTGCACTTCACAGACAGGCAAAGCGAGGCCGGCTGAGTCATTCAGGCTGCTCTGGAGGCCGGCTCTGGCGCTCCTGGGAAATGCTGGGCTGATGTTTCCTCACTGCTCTAGAACCAGGGGCTGGGCCCTGCTCTCCACACCCACCCACAGCCTCGGCTGGTGTCCCCAGGACAGGCCTGCATGGAAAGGGACCCTCTGGCCCCTGCAGCTGGTGTGGGAAAGGCCCTTTCTGCTAAATGGAAGACAGATTTAAAGGGAAGAGGTGGATAGAGTCATTTTGTGATTTATAATTGGCCACCTTGTAACTCAGACAAAAGACCCAAAAGCCTTTCATAGAGTAAGTTCAACTTTTAAAAATAAAGGTATTTTAAAATGAACACTTGCAAAGCACACCACCTAGGAAGAGCCCAAACATGTGGAAGGTTCTTTCTCTTTCCTCTGGGAACTATCAAGCCCTTTGGGAACCTTCTCCCATCCTAGGGGATCCCCCAGCCACCATGTGTCATGCTGTGCCAGCTGCTCCGCAGGCCACAGTCCCTGAGCTGCCGCAGAACCCTGGGTCCTGCCTGACCTCAGGGTCAGCGCCAGTTGGCCTAAATGGGCCCCGGTTTGTATAATAGACTCTCACCCAGGGTGGAGGGATGGTACTGGGGATGGGCAGCTGTCAGTTGCTAGAGGACATCAGTGGTCATTTGCTCTAGAAGTGGAATCCTGTGCCTAGATGTTGGGTTTCTTGGAGCTTCTTCTGACTGGGTTGGCTAAGTACTTACTGAAGAGAGAAACGTTCTCCCGGCTAACGTGCGGACTATCTACCATGTGCCAGTGTGGTCGTGGAGTGAGAGAGCGTTCTGTGTGACCTCCCACAGTCACGTGAGGCAGTGCTGTCGTTCTGCCCATTGTACAGGTGAGCACGTGGAGGAGTGAGGGTTTTGACAGCCTGCCCAGGTCACCCAGCGAGTAAGAGCCAGAGCCAGGAATGGTTCTTGGAGCATGACTTGCTCAGCCTCAGAGCTACTGGAGGAGCAGGGAGGAGATGCAGACCCAGGAGCTGCTGCCCTTGGGGCCCCCACACTGGCTGCAGGGCCGGCCAGGCTGCTTGAGCCACAGGTGGAAGCTGCACCCTGGATCTGTGCCCGCTGACTATTACTCTTCTCCTGGTAACTTGGCCTTTGAAGGCGGGTTTCATCAGCCAGATGCTGTCTGGGAAGGTGCCAGACAATGTGCCCTGGCAGGACTGCCAAGCTGGCTTATTGGGAAACCAGAGATTTCATGGAGCTCCCATGCTGCTGGCTGCTCATGGCAAGGATGAAGTTGTTCCTGTTTGGGGAAGTGAGGTGGCATTTCTATTCTCTTTGACCTGGGAGAGCTCCCTGCCCTCATCCAGGGCCTGACTCAGCACTGCCCCCGCGCAGGAGTGCAGTGCGCAGTGGCAGGCGCTCACCTGCTGACGGGGCCCAGGGTCTTGAAGCTACGCCTCATGTCTAGTTCTCAGAACAGCCGTGGGTCCCTCCTCTGGGACTCCTGATGCGGTCCCGGGAGTTTGCTTCTAGGGTGACAGTCTGTGTGTTGGTCACCAGGAACCCCAAGGGCTGAATTGCCGCCTCCTCGCCCTGTGGCTTTGCTGAAGGTCTTCACCATCAGTCCTTCCCTGCCAGGGCAGGCTGGGGACATGTGGCTTCAAAGGGAGAAAAGTGCCCCTCTGTCCTCTGTCTCTCTCATGGAAACAGCATCTCAGCGCCCCTTCCGTGGCCTGGCAGATGGCACACAACCCTGACACACACACTACCTAGGAAGAGCCCAAACACATGAAAGGTTCTTTCTCTTTCCTCTGGAGCCATCGAGCCCTTTGGGGACCTTCTCCTGTCCTTGGGTTGTCACCATTGCATGAATGGCATCCTCTCTAGTGGCCTCACCCTGCTTCTTCTCTGCCCTAGGATCATGCGGCCAGATGACGCCAATGTGGCCGGCAATGTCCATGGGGGGACCATCCTGAAGATGATCGAGGAGGCGGGTGCCATCATCAGCACCCGGCATTGCAACAGCCAGAACGGGGTAAGAGTGTGGGCCCTGGATTCCGCAGCAGTATGGGTTCAAGACAGGAGTTCCCGGGGAGCCAGGCCCGCAACCTGCCTTCCCCTTGTGCCCCGGGCCTTGGGGGCATTGGGGGAAGTGGCCCAAGTACTTCTGCTCTGGACCCTTGGAGCTATGCTTGGTTTTGGCCTCAGCCAGGAGGTGTGGGAACCCACCAGAGATGAACCATCAAGCAAGCGTACAGGCCCTCCCTCCATCACTCCCCTCCATGCTGAGTCCCCCGCCAGCCTGGCCCTGATCAGAACCACGCCCTGCCTGCGTCGGGCGGAATTCATTTTCATGGCCAGGAGCTGAGACATAGAGGCCAGACAGCAGACTTAGGGGAAATCCCACCTCTGCCCTCACCAACCCCAGTGGCCATGGCAAGTGGCGTGGCTCTCTCTGCCTTGGCCACTTCTTGGCTGTGAAGCTCACAGGCCTGGTACCACTGTGCCCACGAGGGGCCCGCTCTCCACCTGCCCCCAAATTGTTGGGAAGGGCCCTGCGACCCCACAGCTGGGGACAAGGGGCACCATCTCTAGGGTCAACCTCAGGGCTGCTCTAAGACATTCAGTCATCCCAGCCCTGGGGAGGGGACATTTTCTCTAAAGATCAGCTGTTGGGGAGAAGCCAGCCCTTGGGTGCTGAGGACAGAGCGTCTGCCTTGGTGCCGAAGCTGTGGCCTCCACACTATGGGGCTTGGTCAGCACACCTGCTGTGGCCTCCAGGGAGGATGAGAGGAGGAAAGCTCAGCCAAGGTCTAGTGGGAGTGTGAGGTGCAGGTCCCCACCACAGGCATGGGCATGATGCCACTCTATCAAGAGGCTAAGTGGAAGCCACGTCAGAGACCAGGGGCCAGTGGAGGCTGTTAGCTCTGAGCACACTCGCGAGATGCAGGAAGTGGCCTGCTGGCTCTGTCAGCCTGGGCTGCCGTGACAAAGACCACAGCCTGGTGGCTTGTGAACAACAGAAATGCATTTGTCACAGGCCTGTGGGCTGGAAGGCCAGGACCAGGGTGCCAGCAGGTTCCGTGTGCTGAGGGCCCGTTTCCTGGTTCATAGACGTCACATCACTTCTTGTGTGTCCTCACTTGGCAGGGGGGGCTCTCTCAGGCCCTTTTATAGGACACTAATCCCATTTGTGAGGTTTCTGTCCCCATCCCCTCACTCCTGAAGGCCCTACCTCTTTCTACCATCCCCTTGGGGGTTAGGATTTTAACACAGGAATTTTGGGGGGACACAGACATGCGGGCCGTGGCACATATGTTCAGCCTGAAGCAGTGGGCAGTGTGTGTTCCAGTGGAGTGGAAGCTTTGTGTGTGTGTGTGCGCGTGCACACATGCATGTGTGGATATGTATGTGTGTGTGCAGAATGAACCAAGGCATGGTGAGTGCTGATGGTTGGACGTGGACATGGGGGACGTCATATGGTAGAGGCTCTGGAGTGGGTTTGCTGGCAGTGTCTGGTTTAGAAGGGGCTCGCTGGCCCAGCTGGGGATGGATTGATTCTGTGGCCCAGAGGCTCCAGTGCCGTTTGGTCACGTTCAGAGAGCGCCCTCTGGTGGCCCTGGGGAGGACGGGCCTGAGCCTGAGAGCCCTGGGCAGTGGTGAGGGCCAAGTCCCAAATTCCTGCTGCACCCTTCAAGAGAGAGACTGTGAGGGTCCCTGGCAGGCCTGGCAGGAGAGGATGGACACTGGAAGCAGGTGGTAGATCTGGGCTGTGACTCTGCCTCAAACCTGTGCTTTGAACACTTGCCCCTCCTTGCTCCTTCTCCAGGTCTGGGGCTGCTGGAGAGACAGTTTTGACACATTGACTTGGAGAAGCCTCTGGGCTACTGGTCACCAGGATGGTGATCCTGAAATTCTAGGCTCAGGAGGGGGTCTGTGAGCTCCAGGCAGCCCCAGGGCGTTGGGGTGAGAATAGTCCCTGGTGCCTGGATGCTGACCTGAAGGGCTTTGATGGGGCCCTGGGTGGGGCAGGGAACTCACCTAGTGGCGCCATCCAGTCCGTGGCTTTGATACCACAGTCCAGTCCCAGGGTTCTGTCTCTGGCTGCGGCCTCTTGGTCAGCCCAATCTGGATGCTTGCTTCTCCCAGCCTCCCTCCCCTCAGTAAATGGTCTCTGCCACCCCCAGGTGCCCAGGCTTAAAGCCTGGAGCCTCCATCGACCCCTCTCCCTCCCACACTCATGAGACTCTGGGAGCAGATCCTGCTACTCTACCTTCCGGGAAGTCCAGATCTGAGCACAGCCCCCCAGGCCCACCCTCACGTGGGTCCAGTGGTGCTGCTCTCCTGATTACCTGATCACTGCAGCAGCCTCCTGATGTGTCACCCTGCTGGTTCCTGCCGCCTCATTTGCTCTCCAGCAGTAGCCAGGGGGATGTGAAGTCAGAGCACAGCCCATGCGGAGTCCTCCAGAGTCAAAGGCGCATCCACACGAGTCCCTGTCCCTGCCTAGCACGACTTGGGAACCTCACCTCCTACATCTCTTTGTCAGCTCTCCCTCTGGCCTCACTGGCTTTTCTCCAGATATCCGCAGGGCCCTGCCCTTGCTTCTTCCAGGTTCTAAATAAAAACAGTGTCATCCCAGCACTTTGGGAGGCTGAGATGGGCACATCACTGGAGCTCAGGAGTTTGAGACCAGCCTGGACAACATGGCAAAACGTTGCCTCTACAAAAACTACGAAAATTAGCCGGGTGTGGTGGTGTGTGCCTATAGGCCCAGGTTCTCGGGAGGCTGAGGCAGGAGGATCACCTGAGCCCAGGAAGGTCGAGGCTACAGTGAACTGAGATCCCGTCAGTGCAGTCTAGCCTGGGTGACAGTGAGACCCTGTTTCTACAAAAACAAAACACAACATCCAGCCTTGCCCCCGATGGCCTGGCTCCCACCTTCCTTCCAGTTGCTGCTCTGCTCCTGATCTGCTGTACTTATAAAGAGTGGTAGCCCCACGAGGGCAGGACTTCGGCCCTTGGTTTCCCCAGACTGAGGCATAGAGCACGCTCAGGCATCTGCTGGATGCTGGGAACTCCCACCTGGCACCATCACTGTTGCGGAGAGCTTCCACTGAGTGAGCACTTGTGATGAGCCTGTGGCCACACTGGGCTCTCCCTGTGTAGTCTTCCCAGCCACCTGTAGAGAAAGACACTGTTTTTTTGTTTTTTGTTTTTTTTAGACAAAGTTTTGCTCTTGTTGCCTAGGCTGGAGTGCAATGGCATGATCTCGGCTCACCACAACCTCCGCCTCCTGGGTTCAAGCAAGTCTCCTGCCTCAGCCTCCCGTGTAGTTGGCATTACAGGCATGCGCCACCATGCCCAGCTAATTTTTGTATTTTTAGTACAGATGAGGTTTCACCATGTTGGATATGCTGGTCTTGAACTCATGATCTACCCACTTTGGCTTCCCAAAGTGCTGGGATTACAGGTATGAGCCACGATGCCCGGCCCTAATTTTCTTCTTTGGTATTTTAAGCTGGGAGAGAACCAAGCTCTAGGGTCATCAGCGGCCTTCTGCCCTGGGAAGGGCAGGCTTAAAGCCATCCCCATTTTTCCCCATGCCAGGCCTGGGTGTCGGCACCATGGGGAAGGCTCCTGGATGGTTCTGCCTGAGAGGCATCCTGAGGGACTGTGTGGAGAGGAGGCTTTGCCTTCCTCCAGCTCAAGTCACTCTCTCTGAGTGAACCTGCTTTTGCACCTCCTCTGAGGCCCTCCACCTGCCCTTCACCCTGGCCCACAAGGCTGGGCAGCCTGGCTCTGCTGACCTTTGTCCATTCTCCCACTGCGTCCCTGTGTTCTGGCGGCTCCCTCCCACCTCCCTCCCACTCTGCCGCTTTTTCCTCTCCCTGTGGTACCAATGCTCTCCCCACCTTCCCCTGTCCTCAACTCAAATGCCTGTCATCTGAAGTTGTGCCCCACTTCACATCAAGGGGCTGTCTTGAGAGCACCTTGAGAGTCCTTTGGGACACTTCTTACGTGGAACCATAAATGGCGTGGCCTCATTTACTTCTCGTTCATCCCCCAGCCAGAACCCAGGCTCCTCTGACCTTCCCTCTGCAGACCCAGCACTAAGAGGCCACACAGATGTTGCTAGAAAACAGCTTCAGAGCAGGGAGGTGGAAGGCCACTGCCACCCAGAGCCCTGAGTGCGTAGGTGTTTGGTCTGTGTCGGCGTAGCATACCATAATGTATTCAGCCATCCTCGAACAACACACTTGGCTTAATTCCACTTTCAGGTCTTGCAAACAGTGTGTGGCTCATTCCAAGATGGGCACTGCCCTGCCCAGAGGCTGTGCCTAATTCTTTTTTTTTTTTGGCTTAAGTCAAATAGGATTAATTATTTTTTTGAGAGAGAGAGTTTTGATTTTGTTGCCCAGGTTAGAGTGCAATGGCACTATCCCGGCTCACTGCAACCTCCTCCTCCCGGGTTAAAGTGATTCTCCTGCCTCAGTCTCCAGAGTAGCTGGGATTACAGGCATGGAGCACCATGCCCGGCTAACTTTGTATTTTTGGTAGAGACGGGGTTTCACCATGTTAGTCAGGCCTGTCTTGAACTCCTGACCTCAGGTGATCCACCTGCCTCCGCCTCCCAAAGTGCTGGAATTAGCGGTCGTGCCCAGCTGGCAATGCCTAATTCTTACCTGGCTGAGTGCAGCCCTGCCCTAGCAACCTTTGGCCAGTGGGTGGTGCCGTTGCCACGTACATTGACTTGGGGGTGAAAGACACAGTTCCAGACATCACTTTACTGTGACCTGTTGAGAGGAGGGCAGGGTTTGCAGGGCACAAGCCTGTGCAAACTAGAATGGGGAAGCCTTGGGCCACCCTGGACAGCTCTGGAACTTTTCCTGCCCAGCCCTAGATGCACCCACAGAGTCACCGGGGAGAGGGTTCAGACAGGGGCTCGCAGCTGCACCTCCAAAGAAGCAGGTGCTGGGTTTGTGGTGGGCCCCGGAGCTTGCATGTTTGCCCCACCCCAGTGAGTCCTCATGCAGGTGGGCACGCTGCACATTGATGCTTTGGGGGCAGCAGGCGGTAGGTGGGAGAACACAGATGCGCACACCAGGGCTCGAAGTGACCGCCATGTACTCTCTGCGTGCCCTGGACGCTTGCCTGGTGTGTCACCCCTTGTCAGGTTGCTGTGAAGATCACCTGGGCCAGCGATGCCAGGGCTGGCAGGCAGGCCCCTCCCTCACCTGCCCCCTGCCCATCCCAGTGAGCCCGAGAGCAGCTCAGTGTCATGCTGTCAACATCCTAAGGAAGCAGTTGTCGCACAGTAGAAAGTCATGGCAGTCCTCTGGAAACTGGAGGCTCACATCCCCCACAGCTCAAACACAAGGTCATCTTTTGTGTCATTTATTCACCGAAGACGAGGAATTAGTCGGTTCGGAGTGTTGGTCAGGGTGCCGTGAGGTGCCAAACGACAAGCCCAGTTACCGCTGCCCTGAGAAACACTTGGGATCATATATAAAAGTCTTTATCCTTGGGCCCAGAAACTAATCCCAAATGCAGACAATGGCTTTAAGTGCAAGGGTGCCCATCACAGCATTATTTATAATGAGGGTCAACTGGGGATGGCCCAAATCTCTTAACAGAAGAAGAAGAATGTTCAGTTCCACCTGGCTGGCCAGACTGGAGTGCAGAGGTGGGATCTCGGCTCCGCCTCCCAGGCTCAAGTGATTCTCCTGCTTCAGCCTCCCAAGTACTTAGGACTACAGGCTGTGCCACCACGCCCAGCTAATTTTTGTATTTTTAGTAGAGATGGGGTTTCACCATGTTGGCCAGGATGGTCTCGATCTCTTTACCTTGTGATCCACCTGCCTTGGTCTCCCAAAGTGTTGGGAATACAGGTGTGAGCCACTGCGCTCGGCCTGAAAGTAATTTTCTAAAAAAAAGTTAGGTGTGGTGGCATGCTCTTATAGTCCCAGCTACTCAGGAGGCTGAGGCTGGAGGATCACTTGAGCTCAGGAGGAGTTTGAGGCTGCAGTGAGCATGATTATGCCTGTGAATAGCCATTGCATTCCTGCCTGGGCAGCATAGCAAGGTCCTGTCTTTAAAAATAATAATAATAATTTTGCATTGGAGTGCCATGAAAAGGAAGTCACAAAAGGATAAGGAAGTCTTTCGCAGGCAGCCACCGTCTGTGTGTTTGCGTCTCTGTTCGTCCTCAGTGTTGAAATCCTCCCCAGGGTGAGGGTATTAGGAGGTGGGGCCTTTGGGAGGTGATAAGGGCATGGGGTAGAGCTTCATGAATGGGGTCATTGTCCTCAGGAAAGAGGCCTGAGTTAGCTCATTTGCCCCAACCACCACGTGAGGACACACGCCATCTGTGAACTTCCAGGAAGCTGGCCCTCACCAGACATGGTATCTGCCTGTCCTTGCTCTTGGACTTCCAGCCTCCAGGACTGTGAGAAATAAATTTCTGTTGTGTCTAAGCGTCCAGGCTAGGGCATTGTGTTACGGCAGCCCAATGAACTAAGACCCAGCCATACCGAAGATGATCCCCAGGGCAGATGGAGAGAGAAAAAAGCATGGTGCAGTGCCGCCTTTCCACCTCCACCCCACCACGTGGGTGCAGATGTAGTGTCTGATCTGACACATGGGACCCTGGCAACCCCAGCTGCCAAGGGGTCCTGTGTGGCAGGGGACAAGATGGCCAGAGGCAAACCCAGCACCATAGGCTTTTTTGTTCCTTTTAAATTTTGAATCATGAGAATGGGTCGCCTATTTGAAGGATAAATAACATTTAAATTTTAAAAAATAATAGTTGGGCCAGGCATGGTGGCTCACGCTTCTAATCCCAGCACTTTGGGAGGCTGAGGCAGGAGAATTGCCTCAATCCTGGAGGTAGAAGTTGCAGTGAGCCAAGACTGCACCACTGCATTTCAGCCTGGGGGACAGAGCGAGACTCCATCTCAGAAAAAAAAAAGGTGGGGGGCGGGCAGGCTCAGGGGCTCACGCTTGTCATCCCAGCACTTTGGGAGGCCAAGGCGGGTGGATTACTTGAGGTCAGGAGTTTGAGATCAGCCTGACCAACATGGCGAAACCCTGCCTCTACTAAAAATACAAAAACCAGCCAGGTGTGGTGGCGCACGCCTGTGTTTCTAGCTACTCAGGAGGCTGAGGCAGGAGAATTGCTTGAACCTGGGAGGTGGAGGTTGTAGTGAGTTGAGATCTCACCACTGCACTCCAGGCTGGGGGACAGAGCGAGACTCCATCTCAGGGAGAAAAAAACAACAACAACAACAACAACAAAAAGTGACAGCAAAGAGCCATGTCACAACGTGGGCAGATTATTTTTCCCATATTGAATGAAAAAGAATCAGAAGGTGAGGGTGTACATTTAGCGGGGTTTTTGTTTGTTTGTTTTTGAGGTGGAGTCTCGCTCTGTCACCCAGGCTGGATTGCAGTGGTGCGATACTGGCTCTCTGTAACCCCCACCTCCCAGGTTCAACCGATTCTCATACCTTAGCCTCCTGAGTAGCTGGGATTACAGACGTGCACCACCACACCTGGCTAATTTTTATATTTTTAGTAGAGATGGGGTTTCACCATATTGGCCAGGCTGGTCTCGAGCTCCTGGCCTCACGTGATCAGCCCACCATGGCCTCCCAAAGTTCTGAGGTTAGAGTCATGAGCCATCACACCCAGCCTAAAAAAGAATAGTGATTGTGGCTGGGCGCTGTGGCTCATGCCTATAATCCCAGCACTTTGGGAGGCTGAGGCAGGTGGATCACGAGGTCAAGTGATCGAGACCGTCCCGGTCAACAGGGTGAAACCCCGTCTCTACTAAAAATACAAAAAATTAGCTGGGCATGGTGGCACGCGCCTGTAATCCCACCTACTCGGGAGGCTGAGGCAGGAGAACCCAAGAGGCGGAAGTTGCGGTGAGCCGAGATCGCGCCATTGCACTCCAGCCTGGGTAACAAGAGCGAAACTCCGTCTCAAAAAAAAGAATAGTGATTGTGAAGAATGTGTCACAACACGGGCAGATTATTCTTCCCATGTTGAATGAAAGCGAATCAGAAGGTGAAGGTGCATATTCAGTGTTTGCACAGCTATATTAGACTAAAACTGTGAAATGAGCCAGGCAGACAAACAAGTGAGGCAACAAAATCCCCATTCTTGGGAAAAAAGGAGGAGTGATGTTCCCCTTTGTTTCCACTTTCCTGTATTTCCCGAATTTTCCATAATGAGTCTGTATGCATTTTTTCACTTTTTATTATGCGAATAATGCATGCTTATTGTGAGAAAATCAGAAAACAGGAAGAAGCCCTTGGCGATCCCACTGCCTGGGGAATCGCCTGCAGCAGTTGCTCTGGGCTGGGCTCTCCAGGGCTCCTCTGCATCCCTGTGCTTCTGCGTTCAGGAATGCATGGTGCCAATAAATTGCAGTGAATTGGTTGCTTTCACAATGGGGAACAAAAAGCAAAGGCAGTTTCCAGGGGGCGTGTCTAGGGCAGGGGTCTCGGGGCTGGGCTGGCTGGGCCCAGGCTGACCACTGCCTCTGTCTCCACAGGAGCGCTGTGTGGCTGCGCTGGCTCGGGTTGAGCGCACCGACTTCCTGTCGCCCATGTGCATCGGGGAGGTGGCCCACGTCAGCGCGGAGATCACCTATACCTCTAAGCACTCGGTGGAGGTACAGGTCAACGTGTTGTCTGAAAACATCCTCACAGGTACTTCTGGGAGTGACAGTGGTGACTGGAGCACTCAGAGCTGTGGCCACACAGCTGCTCCCCTCCCGAGGGCAGAGGACGCCCCAGGGCCTGGCCCCTTTCCCACCACTGAGACCTCCCTCACCTCCCACCTTGGCCCTGGGAGCAGTTCCGTCCATTGCCCTGATTTTGCAGACAGGAAACAGGCACAGAGGGGTTAAGAAACGAGCCCAAGTCGGCCAGACGTGGTGGCTCACGTTGTAACCCCAGCACTTTGGGAGGCCAAGGCAGGTGGAGGTCAGGAGTTCGAGACCAGCCTGACCACCATGGTGAAACCCCATCTCTACTAAAAATATAAAAAATCAGCCAAAGCATGGTGGCACCTGTAATTCCAGCCACTTGGGAGGCTGAGGCAGAAGAATCGCTTGAAACTGGAGGTGGAGGTTGCAGTGAACCCAAATTACACCATTGTACTCTGGCCCTGGCAGCAGAGTGAGACTCCCTCCTCCCCCCAAAAAGCCCAATTTCAGCAAGTTCGGGCACTCAGACTAGGACTCAGCCCCGCCATCCACGTTTGGCCTGAGTGCATCACTGCTGCCTGTCCTGTTGCCTATGGCCAGTTCATCCATGGCAGGGGCTGGGCGTGGGCTGTAAGTTGGGTGAGAACCGTCCGTCTGCCCCTCTGTGGGTCTCTCTGACCTGCCTTCCCTTCTCAAGCACAGGCAGGTGTTGGCTCCAGAGAGGACACTGCCTGCTCCCAGGGGACTTGCCCTGGGCCCCAGAAACCAGGCTTAGATAGAAGCTCACTGAGTGAAGCTTTGCCTCTGCTTTCATCTGAATATTCCTTTCCTTGGCTATGGTAACCATGGAAACCCCCTTTCCTTTCCCACTGGGCGCTGCAGGAGAGGGCGACTCCAGTGCTCACCAGCGCAGTGTTCCTTTTTATACCCCAGCTGGGGACAGGAGGTGAGGGGGTGGGAAAGACAAGCCTCTTCCTCTGCCCCTGGCCCTCTCCCTGCCACCTCCCAGGTTGCCAGTCCTCCTGTGCAGAACAGAGGCTCGGCTGCTTTCCTCCTCTTCCCCACCTTGTTCCTCAGCAGTGCTGCCCTGTGGGGTGCCAGCTCACAGCCATTTAAGGGGCTCAAGTCCTCTTCCCCATGATGGGCGGGTAGCAAGCACAGTTATGCATCTAGAACGTTCTGAGGACCTCAGCAGGGTTGGTGATTAAATGGGTGTGTCAGCTCAGCTTCGGCAGGTGGACAGATTTAGCTGAGCAAGGGCTGGGGTGGAAGGTGGTCAGTGGGCCTTCCCTGCACTCCCATGCCCTGCCACTCCCTCAGTGGGCACCGCTGACATCAGAGGGACCCTTGGAGTGAGATGTGCTACTGTTGTGCCATGAAGTCTTTCAGAGGGACCCTTGGATGCTGTCTCAGGCCGTGGCAGAGAAAGGGGCATATGGGCACCTCCTACCTCAGGAGCGGCACGCACACTCAGGAGAGGCTCAGGGCAGGGTGGGTTCTCCGAGTTAGAGATCTGGGGTTCCCTGCCATCTCCCGTGAGGTCTCAGCTCTTCTGACCATTCGGGGGATGGAGCCTTGGCCCCTTCCTGGAGAGGAGGGATGGTCCTCTGTGCTCTGCTGCCTCCCAGGACCTTCCTGCTTTTGAGAGCCCTGTCAGCAGCATCCTTTGTCACTGTAGCAGTTGGTGGCTTCAGAAATGCCGGGAAGGGATCTTTGTTGCAGATTTTCTGCCATGGAAGTTCCCTCTGTGGTCCATCAGAGGCCACAGCCTCAGAGGAAGCCCCGAAGAGCAGTTTGTTTTGTTTTGTTTTGTTTTGTTTTTTGAGATGGAGTCTTGCTCTGTCCCAGGCTGGAGTGCAGTGGCATGATCTCGGCTCACTGAAATCTCCGCCTCCCGGGTTCAAACTATTCTCTTGCCTCAGCCTCCTGAGTAGCTGGGATTACAGGGGCCTACCACCACACCTGGCTAATTTTTGTATTTTTAGTAGAGATGGGGTTTCACCATGATGGCCAGTCTGGTCTGGAACTCCTGACCTCAGGTGATCCACCCACCTTGGCCTCCCAAAGTGCTGGGATTATAGGCATGAGCCATTGAGCCCAACTGAGCAGTTTGGGATGATGAAGAGAGAGGCAGAGAGACAGAAAGGTGTTCTCAGACTTTCAGCATGGCTGGGACTTGCTGTCCCCACAACAGGGAGCAGTGCAGCCCAAAGGTCAGGGGTGCTGAGCTTGAGGAACTCCCCAGATCATGAGCTTCCCTTTCCTGGCCGCTTCTGCTGGCCCATAATAGACATGGAACCAATAGTGGATGAGCAAATGAATGAATGAATGAGTGAATGAATGAATGAGTGACTGAGTGGAGTAACCAGGAAGAACTTCGAGTCAGTGCTGGCTGATTGGGTTCTAATGAGAATGGCGCTAACTGACATGCTCCTGGGAGTTCTTTGCTCTTAGGGCTGAGTGTGGGGAGAGGGGCATAGTCTCCTGTGCAGAGCCAGGGCAGGCGCAACCTTGAGAGAGCAGCCCCCACTCACCCAGAAGGTGCTGGGCGCTTCTCTTCCTCCCCGCTGTGTTCCGTCCTCTGCAGCCCTCAGCCTTCTCCTCCTCAGAGAGGGATGGAGATGCCCACCCTTCCTCCCTTCCTCGTGCCCGTGAGGAAACGGCGGCTTGGAGAAGGCAGAAGATGCATGCCAGCACATGATGGCTTTTCCCAGTGGGGCTGGGCGGTGCCCCAGGTTCTTCTTCCTGGCTTCAGCCTTTTCCCTGTAGCAGGGGCTGGGGCAAGGATGCCCTGGAGCCCTGAGGCTGTGGCTTTTCTCCATGTCTTGGTCAGGCCCTGGAGCCTGCTGTCGTCTCACTCTGTGACTGTGGGTCTCATCTTCCCCTCTGTCTCCCTCATCTCCTCATCTACGCTTCTGCTTCTCTGCCGTCCCTCTCTGCTGTCTCTGTTATTCTCTTGAGGCCCTTCTCTGTCTCTGCCCATGTGTCCCCTGGAGATTGAGCTCATGAAGTCCCCAACACCAAGAACAGCACCTGGCACTCAGTGGGCATGCAGGGAGCACTGGCTGAATGGGTGGTGACCTCTGAAAGACAGGGGCACTGCAGGTGGGGGCAGAGGAAGCATTCAGGGGCCCTGGCCGGAGCAGGCTGAGTCATAGGCTGTGTGCGTGACATCTGTGGGCTGTCTCCACCCCAGGAGGCAGGGGTCCCCTGTTCTGTGTGTCCCCTCTATCTGGGCTGTGCCATCTGTCACGAGGCCACTTGAGTGAGCCCAGGCCCAGGCAGACGACCCACAAACCTTGCCTTTGAGGCGGCTCATTTATCTCCAGCAACTGTCAAAGTATTAAACTAGCTGGGATGTGATTGCTGCAAACTGCTCCAGAAAATCGCTGGGAGCTCTGAACGTTTTAAGAGAGGTGTTTTTTTTTTTTTTGAGATGTTGCTCTGTGGCCCAGGCTGGAGTGCAGTGGCGCGATCTCAGCTCACTGCAACCTCTGCCTCCCGTGTTCAAGTGATTCTCCTGCCTCAGCTTCCCGAGTAGCTGGGACTGAAGGCGCATGCCCCCACACCCGGCTTTTAGTAGAGACAGGGTTTCACGGTGTTAGCCAGAATGGTCTTGATCTCCTGACCTTGTGATCCACCCGCCTCAGTCTCTCACAGTGCTGGGACTACAGGCGTGAGCCACCATGCCGGCCGGCCAAGAGGTAAGATATTTGTTAATGCTGTCATTGTCTTTTGATCGTTTCATTAAATGATGGAGACAGTACAGTTAGCATGTTTGCCTCTCTTGCTGCGTGGTGTTCATTTAGGTCCAGAGGGCTGCTCCAGTTGCCATGGAAACCGGCTTGTCAGGCTGGCTCTGGCCGAGTCCAGCAGGAAATCTTTATTCCCAAAAGCAGGTTGTCAGATTCACTCTCAGTCAAAGTGCAGTGGAAATATTTTCCCATATGATTTGTCTGCGATTCCCAAGCACAGGGAGCCCCTTGTCCTCACCGTGTGTTCCGTTGGGGGAGGAGCGGCAGGCCGGGGCCTTCTTCTAATGGGCCCCCTGGGGTGTGACTTGGAGCCTGGGGCTGTGTTTACCGAGGAAGAAAAGCACTTTGCTGTGGGAAGGCAGGTTCAGGTAACTGGTGGGAAGTGAGCGCCTCCAGGGGTTTTGGCAGGGCCTGAGGCTGCTCCTGTCTCCTGTTCCTCTGTGATTTCCTGCAGTTAACTCTTCCGCAGAGATTACAGCGAGCATCTTCTGACTTGAAGAAGCCACTTTTATTTATTTCTTTTATTTTGAGACAGTGTCTTGCTCTGTGGCCCAGGCTGGAGCACAGTGGCGAAATCTAGGCTCACTGTAATCTCCGCCTTGTAGGCTCAGGGAATCCTCAGTCTGTGGTCCCTCAGTCTTTAGGACCACAGGTGCACACCGCCATGCCCAGCTATTTTTTTTCTTTTAGATGGAGTTTCGCTGTTGTTTCCCAGGCTGGAGTGCAGTGGCACGATCTCGGTTCACCACAACCTCTGCCTCCCAGGTTCAAGCAATTCTCCTGCCTCAGCCTCCGGAGTAGCTTGGATTATAGGCTTGCGCCACCATACCCAGCTAATTTCGTATATTTAGTAGAGACAGGATTTCTCCATGTTTGTCAGGCTGGTCTCGAACTGCTGACCTCAGGTGATCTACCCACCTCTGCCTCCCAAAGTTCTGGGATTACAGGCATGAGCCACCGCACCCAGCCCTAATTTTTTGTATTTTTGGTAGAGACAGGTCTCCCTATATTGCCCAGGCTGGTCTGGAACTCCTGAGCGCAAGTGATCCACATGCCTCAGGCTCCCAAAGTGCTGGGATTAAGGCGTGAGCCACTGAGCCTGATGAAGGCACTTTTTAAAGGCATCTTTGCAGGGACTTGAAATGACTGGGACATGGGAGTACGGCACCAAGTTGCTGTGTGACCCTAGGTAAACCCTAGCCTTGACGTCTCTGGGCTTCAGGCTCCTTCTGTACAAGTGAGGGATGTACACCAGGGATCTCCAGGCTCCTTTAGCCCTGATAGACCACAAGCCTGTGTATCTCAGCCCAGACAGACCTCCCTGTCCTGCAGCCCCACTTTGCTCTGTGGCTGGGCCCAGTGCCCCGAGGAGTCAGCAGCCTACATACAGCCCATCTCTCGACACCCGGAAGCTTCTGGTGGAGCTTTGGATGGGCTGGCAGCACCCCCAGTGTCTGGTGTGAAGGAAAGGAAGTTCCTGGGGTGGCAAAAATGGGGCTTTGATGAGCTGGCTTTGCTGCTCTGTGCTTTGGGCTGTGGGGGCCCTGGCTGTCTCCCCACCTCTCCCCTGGGCTGCTCTGCCTGGGCACGGCCTCCACATCCCCCTGAGCCTCTGCAGTGTGCACAATCTGTGTGGGCCAAGTGTCTTTCCTGGCTTCCCGTCTGGGGGGCCTTCTTAGCAGTGCCTGGGCAAGTGGATGGGATCTGTAGAAGACGCTGCATGTCTGAGGGTTGGGACATCACGTTCCTCAGCGAGGAGCTTTTGATTTGACGTTCAGTGTCAGCAGCGATCAGTTGGTGTGGAGGCTTGAGCCAACAGGTAAAGCGGGCTCAGCCTTGTCTCCCCAGACACAGTGAAGGTGTCTGCCTACAGCCAGTCAGTCCTTCCCCTCTGTGTGTGGGGCTCATTGGGAGCTCCTGATGTGTTTTCATAATCATGCTTCCTTTCTGTCAAAACACCAGGAAGAGGAGGGTGCCTGGAGTTGGTGCCCCCTGGGTGATCCTTATTGGATGGGGCTGACCAGCTCTGGACCATCCAGGCTTAAACCGCGTGGTCTGAAGTCTTTTCAGTAGCCCCTGGAAAGGGAGAACTGCCCAAAGTGGGTGCATGGGGAGGGGTTGGGGTCCACTTTGGAGACCCCCAAAACTGAGCTCAAGCCAGTTTTGGGGGTCACACCTTGTGATGGGAGTAGGTCCCATGCAGCCTTTCTCCATGGTCTCTGGGGTCTCTGCTTCTGTTTGTCTATGTTCACATGATGGCAGCAACCCCCCCTCCCGGGCAGGATGCTGAAAAGGCCTTGGGGGTTGGGGGCCAGAACAGGTGGTACACAGTGAGGTGTGTTTCAGGTGCTGGGACCGGGCACTGGAGCAGCACCCCGTCTCCTGGGCATCACTGATGTGATTTTCTTCTCTTAAGGTGCCAAAAAGCTGACCAATAAGGCCACCCTCTGGTATGTGCCCCTGTCGCTGAAGAATGTGGACAAGGTCCTTGAGGTGCCTCCTGTTGTGGTAAGGCGCCCTTCCGCTTCTCTCTTGGGGGCAGATGGCAGAGACCAGGTCACCTCACCTGATGGTGGGGGGCTCGTTCAGCTGAGGGTCCCAAGGGAGCAACTGGCCAGAGCTGGGGCCCAGGGGCCAGGTCTGTCAGCAGGCAGTGTGCCCTCTGGGCTGGGCAAGGCATCCTGGGCTCCACAGGAGTTTCTGTCCTGCCTCCGAGGAAACATGGGTGGGGAGGACACATGTCTGTGTCGGAGCTTCCAGTGTGTGTTGAATTCATGCGTGCAGACTGAGTGCAAGCTGGCCCGAAACCCGTGGACGTAGATATCCCTCCAACCTAGGGACCTTCTTGTCACACTCCCTAAGCAGAGAAAAGGTGGCGACGAGATCGTGAGAGTGATGTTTCCTTCTTTCGGGAGCCGAGACCACCAGACTGCCCGGCCCGAGCCGGCGGCTCCCACCACGGCCCTGTGAGCTGGTTCTGATCTCTGCTTCTGCCTCAGTGGCCGTGGAGACAGCTCTCGCATGAGCTTTTGTTTGTCCCTCCTTGTCCCCTGCTGGTGTCTGCCTCCTTCTCTGGGTTTATCTCATTTCTGGCTCTGCTGTGGACAGAAGCACCTGTCGTCATACCCATTCATTGTGTTGTTGGAGGGGTCCCACCCTGGGCCGGTGTGTGGGTGAAGCCTGTGGAAGCTGTGCATGCAGACTCTTGGAGGACAGACTTTGGGAATAAAGAAATCATGTTCATATCCTAAAAGTACTCCCTCGCCTCCTTCTCCTGTGCCCCCAAGTTCATTGGCAAGTCCAGGGACAGGTGTGACCAGCTCGTCCCCTAGCCTGACCCTGCAGTCCTCAGGCCTCAGTTCCCAGGAGGAGCTCTTCTTGGAGGGAACCAGGATTCTGAGCCTCTGCCGTGTAGGCCCGGGCAGGGAGCTTTTCCTCTGGCTGAGATATATATAGAATACGTTTTTAGAAATAATCAAACTGAGAACCAGATTGTGAGGAATTGGTGCCTGCTCTTTTTGCTTCCAGACCCTGGGCTCCCCTGACGGCACCATATGCCCTGGTCCCCTCCGCAGTGTTGCAGGGCTCAGGGCGCTTCCCGTCTGTAGGAATCCTGGCTCTCCATCTTCCCGCTGCCCCGGGTCACCAGGGATGATGGCGTCTCACTCCCTGCTGCCACTGCCCCGTGAGTTGGGGGAGGTGCTCCCTGAGACCTGTTTCCTGCCGTCTCTGCCGTCCCCAGCTCCATGTCTGACTGGACACTGCTGGGGTCTCCTCAGATGGCAGTCAAGGTCTGGGAGGGGTGTTTCCACAGGTAGGGGTGGCTGGCTGCCGGGTCCAGCTTCTGTTTGCCCTAGATTTTTTTTTTTAAATCTTGGTGACAGGGGAGCCCTGTCTGTTTTTAACAGGAAGGGCAGGCTGGTGGCTGCAGCTCTAGTTTTATGAGACCAGGATGGCAGCACAGTAGAATCTGGCCAGCGGGCGGGGGCTCCGGGTCAGGGTGTAGAGTCCGAGGTCTCACGCTTCCACCTGATTCAGTGTCCCGGGGCTGCTGTGGCCAAGTGTCACCGACACTTGCTCTCATAATAGAATTTGATTTCTCTCACAGTTCTGGAGGCCAGATGTCCAAAGGTGTGGGCAGGCCCCGCACCCTCTTCCCCGGCTCCAGGCAAGGATCCCTCCTGGCCTCTCCAGTGGTGGGTGGCTCCAGGCATCCCTTGGCTGAGGCGGCGTCACTCCAGCTTCTGCCTCCGCCTGTGCATGGCCTGCTTACAAGAACACGGGTCACTGGGCTTAGGGCCCATGCCATTCTGCTGTGACCTCATTCTAACTATTCACAGCTACAAAGACCCGGTTTGGAGGTGTTTGCATTTTGAGGTTTCAGGTGGATATACGTTTTGAGGGACACTGTTCAACCTAGTGCACCAGCCCTCAGTTCAACACCCTCCCCCCTTTCTCCCTCATTCTTTGTGGGGCTGTTCTCTCTCTCTGCTTCTTGGCTGAGATGGAAACTGTGGTCATTTTCAAGCAGTGCTAACTAGGGGGTGGCTGAAGACCTAAGGCACAGGGGTCAGCTGGAGGCTCCTGACTGTTCTCTGCAGAATCACAAGTGCACCCACCCCACCTTCATTCTCTTCTCTAAGCCCTTGGCGTTCAGTGAGCCACATCACATGTAAATATTGAGACACAGCATTTAATGGATTTAATTTTCAGATGCTACCCAGTTTTGAAATCTCTCCCAGGCCCTATGCCTGGCTTTGGCATCTCATGGTGCATCTCAGGCGGGTGATACCAAGGGGCAGTTCCGGACCTGAACACTGTTGCTTTTGCTGCCTTTTGCTGTTAGGATCTCGGTGCCAAGGGCTGTCGGGTCTTTCTTTGGCTGGTGAAAGGGACGGGTGGCTTCAGACTCCCCTGCCTCCTGTCCCCTTGCTGCAGGGACAGGGCACTTTCAGTGTGACCCCTCTTAGCCTCCCCTCTCCTTGCCCGGTAATTAGCTCCCTCCCTCCCACATCCTAGAGGAGCCCCCTGTTGCTTTTTCATTTCCTTTGTGTAGTGGGGTTTGATGAGACGTAAGTATCAATTTGGCCTTGTTGAGGGGTTGTTGGAACCATTCCAGAGCCGGGGCAGCCAGAGCTGCAGATGGGAGAGGCTGCACAGTTCTCAGCTGCGGCTGTTGCTAAGAGCTATTTGCACCATCTTCACCCAACACATGCTAGGCCCATTTACTATAACCCTTCCGTTGATTCGGAATCTAGGTCTCCTGTTTTTTACTGGCAGGCCCAGCCACAGACCTGCTTGAATCCTGGAAAGTGCAGCTTCCTTCCCTGGCTCCGATAGGTATTTATGCTCTCAGCCTGGCCACCAGGCTGTCTTATATTCCATGAGCATCTCCTGCTGACCTTTCTACAGGCAGCCATCACTGATTTAGGAAAACATCCATCCCTGTATCTATAGCTATGTAGATGTATGTAATACACACTCACATACTGCAGAGGTATCACATACGTATGCTTGTAGATATCTTGAACACACATGCATGCATGCGCGCACACACACGCATGCGCGCTCTCTCTCTCTCTCTCTCTCTCTCTCTCTCTCTCTCTCTCTGTTCCTGGATGTGTGCATCTCCCTGGAGGAACCCAGCCGCTGGCTGTGTGCACAGGCGTCTATTGTAGGGCGTCCTTTCTTTGTTCTGCCTTCCTCCCAGCCTGGCAGAGGCTAAAGCTTTCCTAGTAAGCAGGGAACCTTGGTGGCCCTGTGGTGCACCAGAGGGGCCCCAGGATGACCGGAGGGACAGCCGCAGCCCTGGACAGGCTGTGTAGCCACTGGGGGTGGATGCTTTGTTTTTTTTCAAATGTCTGAATGTGTGCTCAAGTGAAGAGTTCACAGCCTGTCTCAGACATTTGGGCCGCGCTGTCTGCTGCTTCAGATCAGTTGGGTTTGATGAGCCCTCAGGGGTAAGAGTTAGGTGCCAGCATCATTAAAATGTTCCAGCAGTTTTGTTCCCAGATTGAAAGGCAGCACTGGGGAGGAGGCTGGGCTTCTCCTCATGGCTTGTGTCCAGGGCGGGGCCCCATCATTTCCCTGTCCACCCGCCAAGCACAGACAAGCTGGATGCCGCAAGGATTTATTAGACTGGGAGTTGGCTCCTTTAAAAAATCCCTTTAAAAGGCATTTCTCGAGGATGCTGAATTCACCCATCAGTGTTCCTAGGTAGGCACAGACAAACTCTCCTCTCTGTCATTACTTGGCCGATGGAACATTAGGACGTGGTTTATTTGTGGAGGAAAATGTTGAATTACCCACTGCAACTTAAAACACTCTCCACGGTTTGCTTCTTTTGAAGAAACCCTTCAGTTCCCTTCTCAGCCTCTTTTGAAGATGGATTCTCAACTGAAGATGGTGGGTAATTAAGCCGAGGATTGGTGTTCAGGCCCCGTGCAGTTTTGGAGCTGAGCCATGAGCAGGACTTATCAGGATGTTTACAACTGGTTTTTGAAAGAAAGTCTAACACAGCCGTCTGAAGTGAACTTGTTTAGGTCAGAGGGGCTTCAACAGGCGGCTGAGAGGGGCCCAGACGGGCCTTGAGTTCTGTGGCTTCCCCACAGGGTCAGCTGGAATTGTTAGATGAGTGAATGTGAGAGCCGAAGTCAAGGCTAATCAGAGTGGCTAGGAGGAGGTCGGCCAGGACGGCCTGGCTGAGGGGGAGGGGGAGGATCCTGAGGGATGGAGGAGGCAGAGGGTCTGCACCCAGGCCTCGAGGGCCCCTCTGAGGGTCCCATGGGGAGGGAGTGTGGTGCGTCCCCTCCACTGTGCACAGGAGGGCAGTAATGAACTGTTATGTCCAAGAAATGCAGTACACCCTGTTGTGTCCCAGGACTCAGGAGCTTTGGTTTTTGTGCTGAGTCTTTTTTTTTTTGAAATGGAGTCTTGCTCTGTCACCCAGGCTGGAGTGCAGTGGTGTGATCTCAGTTCACTGCAACCTCTGCCTCCCAGGTTCAAGCGATTCCCTTGCCTCAACCTCCTAAGTAGCTGAGACTGCATTCGGCCACCACCACACCCGGCTAATTTTGGTATTTTTAGTAAAGATCATGGTTTCACCATGTTGGCCAGGCTGGTCTCAAACTCCTGATCTCAAGTGATCCACCTGCCTCAGCCTCCCAAAGTGCTGGGATTACAGGCATGAGCCACCATGCCTGGGCTGTGCTGAGTTTTATATTCACATTTATTTTTAACTTCTGGGGTCAGAATCCCTGTGATCCATTAAGAGAGTCTCGGGGGGATGGTTCTATCTTTGACTGCCTGTTCTCTACAAATATACAGCCTGCTCAGTTGACCAAGGGTCAGCAGTGACACACAGAGCCTCTGTTCACTCATGGCCCTGGGAGAGTGGCTGGGCCCTTTTCGAGGGTCCCTTTATTCTGGAATGAATCCTAGGAATGAATGGGGTAGTGCAAAATGATTACAAGGAACCTAGGATCGGTATGGTTTTACTAGTGAAAAATTGGGGGCCAGGCGCGGTGGCTCCCACCTGTAACCCCAGCACTTTGGTAGGTCAAGGTGGGCAGATCACGAGGTCAAGAGATCGAGACCATCCTGGCCAACATGGTAAAACCATGATCTCTACTAAAAATACCAAAGTCAGCTGGGTCTCTACTAAAAGTACAAAAATTAGCTGGGTGTGATGGTGCGCTTCTGTGGTCCCAGCTGCTGGGGGGTGGGGGGCGGGTGAGGCAGAAGAATCACTTGAACCCCGAGGGCAGAGGTTGCAGTGAGCTGAGATTGCACCACTGCTCTCTAGCCTGGGACAGAGCAAGACTCTGTCTCAAAAATCAATAAAATAAATTTTAAAAATAAAGAAAAATTGGGAATAAGTGCCCACATAGTTATAAAAATCATGTTAAATGATACGGTGAAGTGGCAAAGCACAGTTGCTTTTAAACTCTGCATACAGCACCATAGAGCTTGTTATCTATTTGTGGGCACAAGAGCAAGTCCAGGAAGGATCTAAACTGAACATCTGACCCAGGTTGTCTCTGGGGAGTGGAGCTGCCTGGGATTCCTCTCTTTCTGTATTTTTATTACTTATATTAAACACACATGAACAGAAGAAAAAATAGTCTCAGTTACAAAAGGCTATGTGACATAAGGGGCCTGGGGTTGTGGCCATTCGGCAAGGGGAGGAGGCCGTATCCCACCGGGGCCTGACCTGTCTCTGGTTTCCCGCAGTATTCCCGGCAGGAGCAGGAGGAGGAGGGCCGAAAGCGATACGAAGCCCAGAAGCTGGAGCGCATGGAGACCAAGTGGAGGAACGGGGACATTGTCCAGCCAGTCCTCAACCCAGGTGACAGCTGTGGGCACAAGCAGCAGGTGTCTCTCCTCGCTGGGGGTGCATGGGAGGCAGGAGCTGACCAGGCCTACGTGAGCCTCCTGTTGAAGGTTCCCCAGGCACTGAGCGTACTCTCCTGGAACTGGTCTCTCTGGGGTCCCCAGAGGGCTATCCCCCAGCCCTGCCCTGAGCCGTGTAGACCCCTCCAGTCACACAGCTGGAAAGTGACCTGAGCAACTCAGCGATTCCTAAGAGGGCACTACACGTGGGGCTTCCACTGCCAGGCAGGTGGCTGCACCTGTTCACAGGGAATTGGTTTTTGTTCTATCTTTTCCTCGTGTTCACTCAGTGGCTTGTTCTTTCTTTTTTTGAGAGAGTCTCACTCTGTCACCCAGGCTGGAGTACAGTGGCACAATCTTGGCTCATTGCAGCCTTTGCCTCCTGGGTTCAAGCAATTGAACCCTGTCTCAGCCTTCTGAATAGCTGGTATTAAGGCACATGCCTCCATGCCGGGCTAATCTTTGTATTTTTTTTTTTGAGACGGAGTTTCGCTCTTGTTACTCAGGCTGGAGTGCAATGGCACCATCTTGGCTCCCCGCAACCTCCGCCTCCTGGGTTCAGGCAATTCTGCCTCAGCCTCCTGAGTAGCTGGGATTACAGGCACATGCCACCATGCCTAGCTAATTTTTGTATTTTTAGTAGAGATGGGGTTTCACCATGTTGACCAGGATGGTCTCGATCTCTTGACCTCATGATCCACCCGCCTCAGCCTCCCAAAGTGCTGGGATTACAGAATCTTTGTATTTTTAGTAGAGATGAGATTTCACTATGTTAGCCAGACTGGTCTTGAACTGCTGACCTTAAGTGATGAGCCTTGGCCTCCCAAAGTGCTGGGACTGTAAGTGTGAACCAGAGCACCCAGCCAGGTCCCTTGTTCTTGATGGGATTTCCAGCTCATTCAAAAAAGAAAAAAACGGCAGCAATTATTCAAGTGGCACTTATTCTCGGCTCTGCTGTTCAGATATTGACTGGGGGAGTGGCTCTGCCAGTCGGGCACTGGGCTCTGTAGTGTGCCCAGCTTCCCTGCAGTGTTGGTCCCTTCTGTCTATCCATCCTCTTGCCCTCATGTCACGATGCTCTGGTTTTCACAAAATGTTCATCCAAAATCCAAACAAATGCACAACGAGTTGTTTTCCCTCAAGCAAGGACTTTCTACCCAAGGAACTCCCGAGTTCCTAGAAACAGTTCAGGGCAGGGGGCCCTGGGGAGTGTCAGTCCCCCTAGGAACAGGGTGAGCCTTTGGTAGCAGGCAATGAGTGTTACCTGTCTCCCCACTGCACACATGGAGGTCACGTTGTAATAGTGGTGGGAGAACTCCCTCTCAAATGCACTATGTGCTTCTCTGCCTCCCTGCGATGGCCTGGGCTTAGGGCGCACTCGTGCTCTGTGCTGGGTTCCACAGGGCGCCGTCCTCATGCAGCCTGCGGAGGGTTTGCTGCTCCCCACCGCCCCTTAAGGGACCCTGGCCATGGCAGGTGTTTGAGTTTCTGACTCGGCTTTCTGTTTTGCCGCCACTCTCAGCAACGGTCAGGACCTGCCTCAAGTAATCCCTTTTCCCCTGGGATGTGCCTGTGATGTGGGCTCCACTCTGGGGTCTACCTGCTCCCAGCCCTGCTGGAGAGGCGCCCTGGCCCTGCTAACCTGGACTCGGGGCATCGTTCTGGCTGTCCACCTCCCTGGCCTCGTCCACATCAGCATCAAGGGGGCTGGGGGGACTGGAAAAAGCACAGATTACCACCTGTCTTTCCGGGCTAGGCTGCTGGCGCACAGCAGGCATGTGCTTGACTTCCAGACAGGTCAGCTTGAGGCTTGGGCAGGGGTTTGTGTGTCTTTGTGTCACATTTGTGTCTCTGACCCAGTCTGTGCTCCATCCTCAACTTGCCAAAAGCAGACTGGTTGTCACCTTGGGTCAGTGGGACTGGGTAGGTTGGTTTCTTTACTGTTGGAGAATCTGCTGTAGGTTTCTTCTCTTTTCAGATTGAAGGAAGGAAGGAAGGAGAGGGAAGGAAAGAAAGAGAGAAGAAAGAAAATTAATCTATCAGCATTAATAGAAAGAATGGTGCTGCTTTGATGACACCCCAGAAGAGATACCTTTTTTTTTTCCCCGAAATGAAGTACTGCTGTGTCGCCCAGGCTGGAGTACAGTGGTATAATCTCAGCTCACTGCAACTTCTGCCTCCTGGGTTCAAGCAATGCTTCTGCCTTAGACTTCTAAGTAGCTGGGATTACAGGTGCATGTCACCATGCTCGGCTAATTTTTGTATTTTTAGTAGAGACAAGGTTTCACCATCTTGGCCAGGCTGGTCTCGAACTCCTGACCTCGTGATTCACCCACCTCAGTCTCCCAAAGTATTGGGATTACAGGTGTGAACTACCGTGCCCGGCCTGAGATGCCTTTTAAAAATAAAATTTAAATAGACAGCGGGTTTCTCAACACAGCAATATACCAGACAGGCTTGGAGGCATGTGCTGGGACAGACAGTGCCCAGGCTCTGCCTCTGGGAGGGCAGCTCAGCAGGCAGGTCAGACACAGGCCCCAAGGACCGTGATGGGATGCAAGGGAGGGAAGATGTCTTGGGAAAGGCATCAACACAGTGCTCAGGGTCAGAAGATATGTCCACATTCAAATACCTAAGCCGTGAATCGGACCTTACATGGAAAATGGGTCTTAGCAGATAGGGTTATGCTAAGGATGTTGAGATGAGGTCATCTGGATTACCCAGGTGGGCCCCAAATCCAGTGACAGGTGCCCTTGTAAAGAGATGAGCAGAGGCCACGTCTAGCCTAACACAAAGAGGGCGTGGAGGAGAGGGTCTGGGTGGGACCTGGGGGCTGCCTGGACCTACCTTTTCATGAGCGGTTTCTGGAGAGGGCTTGCGGCTGGTGCCAGACCATGGGGGGCTGAGGAAGTGGGCAGCGCTGCCGGGCTGACTCTGGCTTTGAGAGGCCTGGACTAGATCCTAGCTTCTGCCTTTCACTGACCCTCAGAGACACTAAAATTACTCAAGATTTTCAATCAGTTTAAATTCCTTTACTCGTGGGATTCTGTTGTTTGCTGGCCTCTGGTTGGCTGTAAATTTAGAGATGATATTTTTCAGAATGTAGTATTCAGTATCGTTCAGAGTTGGCCTTCCAAATCTCAAGATTTCCATGTGCTTTTACAACAATGCATCTTCTTCAGATGATTGGATTAGAGACTTGGCTTTTAAACGTTTCTGAGGAAGTCTCATGGCCATTCTTTCTTGAGTATACTTGATCATCTGCATCTCTGACTCTCATTTCTGGGTGGAGCTGACACCTCAGTGGCAGAGCTAGATTGGTCCTCCCTGTCAGGGCTGCCCAGTGCCCTTGGGAGCCAGGGGTATGCTCCTGAGACCAGCCTGGTCTCCTGTATGTGGCTCAGTGTGGGTGAGTTTGGGTTTGGGAGGGGTGTCCTGGTCAATGGGAAACAGCAGCTCAGGGAGAAGAGTGTGTGTGTCCTTGGCATTGGGGTCTTTTTTTTTCTTTTTCTTTTTCTTTTTCTTTTTTTTTGAGACAGAGTCTTGCTCTGTTGCTAGGCGCCAGGCTAGAGTGGAGTGGCGCAATCTCAGCTCACTGCATTCTCCGCCTCCTGTGTTCAAGCAATTCTCTCCTGCCTCAGCCTCCCAAGTAGCTGGGACTACAGGCACGCGCCACAAAGCCCAGCTAATTTTCGTATTTTTTAGTAGAGATGGGATTTCATCATGTTGGCCAGGATGGTCTCGATCTCTTGACCTTGTGATCCGCCCGCCTCGGCCTCCCAAAGTGCTGGGATTATAGGTGTGAGACATGCTGTCCCTTCCTGTGGGAGGACCCTCCCTCTCTGCCCTGAAGAGGGCGGCTTGCCCTTTGACTTGCCTCCTCCCAGCCCCTGCACCTCCCACATCCCGAATTTCATCTTAGAGCCAGAGTTCAGACTGTTGCCTAGCAACCTCCGCAGGGGCAGCCTCTCTTTCAGGTAGCTCAGAGTCTGTGAGTTCCTTAAAAGCCCATTGTCCATATATACGGCTGTAATTAGTCAATAATTTTTTTTTGAGACAGTGTTTGACTCTGTCACCCAGGCTGGAGTGTAGAATGCAGTGGTGCCATCTCAGCTCACTGCAACCTCCGCTTCCCAGGTTCAAGCAGTTCTCCTACCTCAGCCTCCTGAGTAGCTGGAGTTACAGGCACACCACCATGCCTAGCTAATTTTTGTATTTTTAGTGTAATTATTTTGTAATTTAGTGTAATTTTTGTATTTTTAAAGACAGGGTTTCACCATGTTGGCCAGGCTCGTGTCCAACTCCTGACCTCAGGTTATCCACCCACCTTGGCCTCCCAAAGTGCTGGGATTACAGGAGTGAGCAACCAAGCCTGGTTTTTTTTTTTTTTTTTGAGGCAGAGTCTCACTCTGTTGCCCAGGCTGGAGTGCAATGGTGCGATCTCGGCTCACTGCAACCTCTGCCTCCCAGGTTCAAGTGATTCTGGTACCCCAGCCTCCCGAGTAGCTGGGATTACAGGCATGCATCACTGTGCCCAGTGAATTTTTGTATTTTCAGTAGAGACAGGGTTTCTCCATGTTGGCCAGACTGGTCTCAGACTCCTGATTCAAGTGATCTGCCAGCCTTGGCCTCCCAAAGTATTGAGATTACAGGTGTGAGCCGCTGCGCCCGGCCCAATATACAGTTTTTTAAAGGCCAGTTATCCTTATTGTTTTCTCCATCTGACAAGAAAAAGGAAATTACCATGAGCTCCTCGGATTCATAGCTGTCGGCTGTCCAGCTTCGACCATGTAGGGACTGTGCAGCCATATGGCTGTCCATTTTTAGGGCTTATGACAAAATTAGCCCTGCCTCACACAAGTTCAGTGGCCTGCCTCATCCCTGGCCCTTGGGTTGAAAATAGTGTTCACTTCCAGACCTGGTCCAGCCCTTCCAGACCTGGTCCAGCCCTTCCAGTGCAGATGGGGTCTTGGTAGGTCACCTAGCCCCTGGCTCCTGGGTTGGGATCTGCTTCCTGGGGTCAGACAGTGCTCTTGCCAAGTCCCAGGAAGATCCGCCCTGAGCCATCCATGAGGGTGTGAGTGTGGTGAGCATGGCCAGGCCTGGGGCTCGGCCCAGGGTCTGAAGGGCCTTCCACCCGATGCCTCTGGCCCTCTGGCCAGGCCCATAGTCCTGCTCCCGTAAGCAGTAGTTTGGGGGCTGGGGGCATGGGGGAAGCAAGAGAGGATCGGGGAAGAAGGGAGGTGCTGGAGTTGGACCGCCTAGGTTTGAACCCAGCTCTGCTGCCTTCGTGGGAACTTAACCTCCCCATGCCTCAGTTTCCTCAGCTGGGACCAGAGATGGTGAAATGGAAACCGAAACCATAGGCTTGTGAAAATGACATAAATACCTAACACCCATGAAGCCATGGAAACCGCTTGTCACATGGGACGGGACCCGGAAAGGAGAGTTTTGTGTTATGGCTGTGGAAACCTCGCCCGCTGCCACCCTGAGGGCCTGGTTCAGGCTCCTCACAGCATTTTGAAACTGCAGGTTCGAAGATTGGGCACGGCATTAGTCAGGGTCTTCCTCACTGCTGCAGCAGACAAACCCGAAAACCCTTGCCGGTCCCGCAGCCGAGGTTTATTTCCTGCTTAGGTAAAGTCCAAATCAGACTTTCCTAATGGGGTGGATTTCCTCCAAATGGTAGAGATGTGGGGATTCAGGCCCCTTCAGTCCTCTACCTCCACTGTCTTTTATGGGTAGCTTTGACGGTTACCTTGGAAGGGGACAGAGTGGAGAGGCTCACACATCCGAGGTTTCCGTGGGTCAGGCCTGGAAGCAGCATTTCACTCTGCTCACATCCTGGACATGAGTGGTATTTCCACACCCACTGTAGAGGAGGCAGGGCAGCATGGCCCTGCTGTGGTGTGGAGACAGGCTTGGTCATCTCTGCCTGGTCCTGCCTCTCCAGTCACCAGATCCCTGTTGTATTCGTTGCACCATTAGAGCACCTCACCCTCAAGGATGACCTCCTGAATTTCTGGCTGGCCCCTGTGCTGACCTCAGAGTGTAGCAGCTGGCTATATGCACGCAGTCTTCTCCGTCATGTTCAGATGCAATTCATCATGTTCCTGCAGCCGATGAACTAAGATGATGAGTTATCTGCACTTGCAGCCTTTATACAGACAGCAGCAGAAGAGGGGATAGAAGAGCACGCTCATTTAGGAAAGGAAAGAATGGGAGCTACCCAGGAGCCCCTGGCCCAAGCAGAGATGACTCTTGCCAGGGTCTGAGCTGTGGCCATGGGGAAGGGTCTTTGGTGAGACCCTGATTCCGCTCTTGAGGAGGAACTACATGGTCCCTGGCTCAGCCTTGTTGAAGGTTCTTCCCTGTTCATTATCCTCCATGGCCTCATCCAAGTGGGCACCGGGAAATGGGGCCCTCAGCCCGCCTCCTGCCTGTCTAGGTTTGGGGAGGTTACTTTAGGGTTTTCATAGTCAAAAGCTTTATTTCAGTCCAGGCAAATTCAGATTCCTCGTAAACTTGGTAGGCATCTGATCTGTCTGCCTCGTCAGTTCCACGTGATGGGAACCACACCCAGCATTCTTTCCAAGTGTAATGCCCCAGCCTGGTATATGTCGTTGCTTTTCCATCCCACTTCACTCCACTGTCTTTCTCACTCTCCAGACACACATGGCTGGGTAGACCACACCTTAATCTGATTTTTGACACAAGGCTGAGTCTAATGGGCTTTGGATTTCAGTCTCCTTCAGTTCCCAGATCCATCAACAATAGGCTTTTCCAGTCTTTTAATGCCCCACATTTCTGGCCTCTTCTCAGAGCCCCTCCCCTCATGTTATTGTAGGTTTCGGGATATGCTCAATTCCTCTGACGCCCAACGTGCCCTCGGCAATTGCAGACTGGTTTTGGACACCCCTAGACCCTGGCAGGCCCACACTGAAGCGGCAGGTGGGAGAACGGACATCCCCTCCCTTGGGCCAAGCCACAGGTTGTGTGAACTGACTGCGACACAGGGACGTCAGGGCCCCCAGGGGATCCTTCTCAGAAGCCTTGGTGCTCGGAGGGGTCTGTTCGTTGGCTTTGAGCCAGCTGGGAGCCCAGATGCAAGGGCCTCTTGATGCATATTCAGGAGTGTGTGCTGGTAGATGGGGCGGTCCCTAGGATGTGGCTGTCCCTAGAATGTGGCTTCTTGGAAGGGGCTCCTCCACTCTGCTTCTGACTCCATGACAGGCTACTTTTCCCACACACCTTGGCATGAGGGCGACGCAGGGCAGGAATGAAGAACCTCACACGGCAGCTAGCAGTGACCAGGAGAGAAGGCAGGGGAACTGATTTGAAATTGTGTGTGTGGAGTGTACCTGTGTGCTGGGGCTGCTGTAACAAGAGTGCCCACCAAAACAGCAGAAGGAGGCTGGAAGGCCAAGGACAGGGTGTTGGCAGGCTGGAGCCTCCCGAGGCCTCTGCTGGGCTTGTAGATGCCATCTTGCCCTGTATGTGTCTGTCCTCACCTCCTCCTCTTGTGAAGACACCAGCCCACCCTCATGACCTCATTTTAACTTAGTTACTTCTTTAAAGATCCTTCCTTTACATTTAGTCACATTCTGAGGCACTCATGGTCAGGACCTCAACATATGATTTGTGGGGACACAATTTAGCCCATGACCTAGAGGCACATCAGAGCCTCAGAAATGACACTTGGGCCGGGAGTGGTGGCTCACCCCTGTAATCCCAGCACTTCGGGAGGCGAGGCAGGTGGATCACCTGAAGTCCGGGTTTAAGACCAGGCTGGCCAACATGGTGAAACCCCGTCTCTACTAAGAATACAAAAATCAGCCAGGTGTGGTGGCATACGCCTGCAGTTCCAGCTACTCGGGAGGCTGAGGCAGGAGGATCACTTGAACCAGGGAGGCGAACGTTGCAGTGAGCTGAGATGGTGCCATTGAACTCCAACCTGGGCAACAAGAGTGAAACTCCATCTCAAAAAAAAAAAAAAAAAAGAGAGAGAGAAAGAAGGGAATGACATTAGACACTTAGGAGACCCCGGGTATCAACTTCTAGGTTAGGACCACCCTTCATCCCACCAGCTTTTTGGCTGCTGAGAAACATTACTTGCCTAAGGCCAGACCTAGAAAGGACCTGTATTAATCTGAAATGAGTCCTAGTCATTTCCTGGCCCAGTGGGCTGGCATATTCAATAGCTCAGGGCTGGCCGGGCAGGAATGAGCTACCCTTTCTAAATGCCAGCTGTCCTGGGCAGGGAACAGATGAAGTCTTTTCACTGACCAGAAGGCCTTGGGGGTGGAGGGTTGGTGTGCACGCCAGGCTGGTTTACACAGGTGTCTGCCTAGGGGATCTTGCGTGTGTTTAATCTCCATCCTGTGAGAAAAAGCAGTGTTGAGAAAGGTCTGCTTTCTGGCTGGGTGCAGTGGCTCACACCTATAATTCCAGCACTTTGGGAGGCTGAGGCAGGTAGATCGCCTGAGGTCAGGAGTTCAAGACCAGCCTGGCCAACATGGTGAAAGCCCGTCTCTACAAAAAATACAAAAATTAGCTGGGTGTGGATGCACATGCCTATAATCTGAACTACTCAGGAGGCTGAGGCACGAGAATCGCTTGGACCTGGGAGGTGGATGCTGCAGTGAGCTACGATTGCGCCACTGTACTTCAGCCTGGGCAACAGAGCAAGACTCCATCTCAAAAAAAAAAGAGAAAGCTCTGCCTTCCAGAGACTGGAAGCTATATTTCATCTTCTTTTTTCTTAAGTGCAGCCTCTTAAGGATAGTTCGGGAGCACTGCAGTGCTGGGTGACTGAAGCTCCCCCAAGGCATCCCCAAGAGTGAGGCGATAGAGGAGTGAATGGGGTCAGGGCCGGCCGGAGGGAAGAGCTTGCGCCCTGCGGAGCTGTACATTCTCAGGCTGGATGAGTAACTTACAGAAACGCTGTGGCTCTTCTGATAAAATTGGAAATGCAAGTCCGATGTTAACTACAGCCCAGTGGAGGGTCACACGCAACCTCATAGCTTTGAGAGGCTTAGTGGCCACCCCTGTGCAGGGCCTTGCAAGGCACTGATGGCCCCAGAGAGTCTCCTCATGACCCACTAACAGAATGGCTTATAAATCCTTGAAAGCCTCTCCTTCGCCCACTGTAGCCTGTTTGGAGACCATGGTTTTCCTTAGAGAGATCATAGCTGACTGCCCTCAGACAGATTCATTGACTGTGCAGCCCCCGGGGTGGCTTCAGCATTGCCAGACCTTTCAGCTGTGGCCGTCAGTCCACCCCACGACTCATCTGTCTCCTTTGCAATTCCAGAGCCGAACACTGTCAGCTACAGCCAGTCCAGCTTGATTCACCTGGTGGGGCCTTCAGACTGTACCCTACACGGCTTCGTCCATGGAGGTAAGAAGAAAGTGGCCTGGCCACTCCACTCCTGTCCCTTGGGTCATTGTTCCTCTCGGATCTGTGCTGCCGTCTGACACAACTGAGACTCTTGTGTTTGGTGAAGCATAAATTTAAACTTTTAAGAATAGGCCAGGCGCAATGGCCATGCCTGTAATCCCTGGGCTTTGGGAAATGGAGGCGGGAGGATCTCCTGAGTTTAGGAGTTCAAGACCAGTCTGGGCAACATAGGGAGACTCCGTCTCTACAAAAAAAATAATAGTGGTGGCCTACACTTGTAATCCCAGCTACTGGGAGGCTGAGGTGGGAGGATTGCCTGAGCCCAGGAGGTTGAAGTTGTAGTGAGCCATGATGATGCCACTGCACTTTAGCCTGGGCGACAGAGCTATACCTTATCTCAAAAAAAAAGGTTGAACAATAAATCACAGAAATACGCTGACAGGCCAGGTGTGGTGGCTCATGCCTGTAGTCCTAGCACTTTGGTAGGGCGAGGTGGGTTGATCACCTGAAGTCAGGAGTTCAAGACTGACCTGGACAACATGGCAAAACCCTATCTCTACTAAAAATATAAAAATTTGCCAGGCGTGGTGGCAGCTACTTGGGTAGCTGGGGCAGGAGAATCACTTGAATCTGGGAGGTGTAGGTTGCAGTGAGCTGAGATTGTGCCACTGCACTCCAGCCTGGGCGACAGTGAAACTCTGTCTCAAAACAAAACAAAACAAACCAGAAAATACTCTGGTGCCTGTTTTTCAAGTCGGTGATGAAAGTTAAATGGATGACTGTGTCCCAGGGGAGGGTCACATGCAGCCTCGGGATCTTACAGTCGTGAGATGTTTAATGCCTGCCCTGGGTCAGGGGCAGGGCCTTGCCAGGGCACTGATGTCTCCGGAGGCCAGCACCGTGACTTGCTGACGGTGGCTCGTTAATAATGTTTTTCCTCTAATGTTTGCATTTATCTTTTCCCAGTAAGCACAGATTCCTTCTCAAACAACACAGGCCTTAAAGTTCCGAGCTCGGCTTCCCAGAGTTTGAGAAACACAGCTGGAACCCAAGAGGATTTAGCTCTAGATTCACAGATGGACACTTTTTACTTTCATAATGTGTACATTTTTTTTTTGGAGATGAAGTCTCACTCTGGTCATCCAGGCTGGAGCTGGAGTGAGGTGGCATGATCTCGGCTCACTGCAACCTCCGCCTCCAGGGTTCAAGTGATTCTTCTGCCTCAGCCTCCCAAGTAGCTGGGACTACAGGTGTGTGCCACCACACCCAGCTAATTTTTTGTATTTTTAGTAGAGATGGGGTTTCACTGTGTTAGCCAGGATGGTCTCAATCTCCTGACCTCATGATCCACCTGTCTCCGCCTCCCAAAGTGCTAGGATTACAGGAGTGAGCCACCGCGCCCAGCCCATAATGTGTAATTATTTTTTTGTGATTTAGGGAGAACGTAGATAGCATATCAAATCCATAATTTCATGGCTACTGTAATTTTGAATAAGACTGAAGTAAACTTTTTTTTTTTTGAGACGGAGTTTAGCGCTTGTTACCCAGGCTGGAGTGCAATGGCACAATCTCGGCTCACGGCAACCTCCGCCTCCTGGGTTCAGGCAATTCTCCTGCCTCAGCCTCCTGAGTAGCTGGGATTACAGGCACGCGCTACCATGCCCAGCTAATTTTTTGTATATTTTTTAGTAGAGATGGGGTTTCACCATGTTGACCAGGATGGTCTCGATCTCTTGACCTTGTGATCCACCCACCTCGGCCTCCCAAAGTGCTGGGATTACAGGCTTGAGCCATCGCGCCTGGCCTGAAGTAAACTTTTAAGAACAAGTTGATTTGAAGAAAATCATCAGGGAGATAAGATCATAGTGAAGTGGTATCAGTGATAGCAGAAGTTGTGAAGGTGGTGTGTGGTTAGTGAAGTTTGGGCACAGCTGTTCTGGGTGTACTGAGATATTCATCTGTCCCGAGGCATAACAAGCATTTTTGCACAATGTCGTTATTTCTAATTACCTTTAACACCAAGTTCTCCTTTCTTCTCCATTTAGAAAACTCCTAGTTATCCTTCAAAACCTAGCTCAAATGGCCCTACTCTCTGTTGCCTTACATTGATATTTCTACCAGGGATACTTCAGGAGCAGGGACTGGATCGTAGTCTGTGTTGGCTCCAGCACCCAGAGTCAAAGTGGCACCTTGCAGATACTCATTCCATGAATGGGAGGCACCAATTACTTTCAGGTTTGGGACAGTGGGCTCTGGCCTATGAGATGGAGTCTTGCTTTGTTGCCCAGGCTGGAGTGCAGTGGCATCATCTTGTCTCACTGCATCCTCCGCCTCCCAGGTTCAAGCGATTCTCCCACCTCCAAGCAATTCTCCTGCCTCAGCTTCCCAAGTAGCTGGGAATTACAGGCGCATGCCACCATATCTTTGCATTTTAAGTAGAGACAGCGTTTCACCATGTTGGCCAGGCTCTTCTCAAACTCTTGACCTCAAGTGATCAGCTCACCTTGGCCTCCCAAAGTGCTGGGATCACAGGCATGAGCCACCATGCCTGGTCCTGTTGTGAGATATGTTTCTTTCTTTTTTTTTTTTCTGCGATGGAGTCCCCCTCTGTTGCCTAGGCTGCACTTTGGGAGGCCATGACGGCGGATCACAAGGTCAGGAGTCCGAGACCAGACTGACCAACATTGTGAAACCCCGTCTCTACTAAAACTACAAAATTTAGGGCTGGGTACGGTGGCTCATGCCTGTAATTCCAGCACTTTGGGAGGCCAAGGTGGGCGGATCACGAGGTTAGGAGTTGGAGACCAGTCTGGCCAACATGGAGAAACCTTGTCTCTACTAAAAATACAAAAAATTAGTCGGGTGTGGTGGTGCGCCTCTTTAATCCCAGCTACTCAGGAGGCTGAGGCAGGAAAATCACTTGAACCCAGGAGGCGGAGGTTGCAGTGAGCCAAGATCGTGCCACTGCACTCTAGCCTGGGTGGCAGAGTGAGACTTCATCTCAAAAAAAAAAAAAAAAATACAAAAGTTAGCCGGGCATGGTGGCACATGCCTGTAATCCCAGCCACTCAGGAGGCTGAGGCAGGTGAATCCATTGAACCCTGGAGATATGTTTCTAAAGTTTGTTTCTTTTTAAACAAATCCCCTTTTGGGTTTCTTTTTTCTATTTCATGATTGTTTTCCTCTTTCCACTCAGTGCTGGCTGCACTGCTCTTAGATCTGATTAACCAAGGTCTCACCAAGGAAGCCCTGCTTTCTAACTTCCCAGGCCCACGAGCTTGTGACAATCAGTATGTCACTGTCCTGAGAACAGCTGTCGCCTCAGAAGCATTTCCTGTTTCCCCATCTCTCCCCTCCCTCGAATTCCAGGGTGGGCAGCAGCTCCCTCCTCAGGCCTGGCCAGCCCAAGCCCAGGCTTCTGTCACTTCTGAGTATCACCTTTGAGCCTCTTATAGCTCCATTCTACCTGGAGTTTGTGAAACTCTGTGCTATGACTTTTGCTTATTTTGTCAACATGTTAGACATGTTAGACATTTTTCACTAAATGTGGCATTTCTGTCATTGCTGTCTACTTGGCATGCCCTTAAGCCCAGTCTTTCTTTCTTTATGTGCTGAGAGGCATCAGTGAGATGCCAGGAGTGGAAGGATCACTGGAAAAGCCACTCGGAAGTCTATAGCGTGTTGTGTTCATTTACAGTGTCTAAGCTGCTTCATTGATACAGGCACATGCTAAGATGTGTGTTAAGAAGTGTTTACAATGGCTTTACAATACTTAATGCCTATTTTAGTAGGGATTTTGTGCCCACCATTTGTAAAAATCTGTCTAATAATTTTACCAAGCTTAACCTTCTCTTATAGGGCCTGGTAACTCACTAGGAGTGAAGGAATAAAAAATGCCGTGTTGAAAACACAAACTGTGATTTTATTGTATTTTTCTGTAGAGTACTGTTGGCAAGAATGGCATCTAAAATCAGTTGAATCAAAATCTTCACTAAACTGTAATTCACTAGATGCCAGTTGCAGGAGAAAATGGTGAAACGGATGCCAATTTAGCCTTGATTCTGTAATTCTAGACTGCGATGTGTCTGAACAGCTGTGCTCAAGCCGTTTTCTGTGATTTCCACACATGGGCTAGCCTTGGTCTTGAGGACTTTACACACAGGTCTGGGTAGCGATAAACTTGTGAAGGGTGTCTTGGAATGGAAGGAGCTGTTCTGGCTGGAATTGCAGGTGGAATGCAGTGCTCCCACCACGCAGGAGCTCATTGCTGCTTTTCTGGGTGCACAGATAGAACCTCGTGTCTTTAGTTGAGGGAATAGAAAAGATCTGGGCAGTGAGGCTCAGGGTGTGGAGGACAGTTATTATCCCATGCGGGAGAAGGGTTGGCGGGGTCTGTGCGTTCTGGGTTGAAGGCCACGTGGAGGACAGTTATTATCCCGTGCGGGAAGAGGGTTGAAGGGCATGTGGAGGGTGTGGAGGACAGTTAAGTTATTATCCTTTGCGGGAGGAGGGTTGGCGGGGTCTGTGTGGTTATGGGTTGAAGGCCACGTGGAGGGTGTGGAGGACAGTTATTATCCCGTGCGGGAGGAGGGTTGGCGGGGTCTGTGCGGTTCTGGGGTGAGGGCCACGTGGAGGGTGTGGAGGAGAGTTATCGTCCCGTGCGGGAGGAGGTTTGGCAGGGTCTGTGCGGTTGTGGGTTGAAGGGCATGTGGAGAGGGCCAGCCTGGCTTTTGGTTTCTGTGTTCCCTGAGTCCTGAGTGAGTCACTCCATGGTCCCCTTCCCTCCTCCGTAGAGTCCTAGGGTTCAGCCCAGAAAAGACCAGTTTCCTCCGTTCTCCGCTTCACCACCCCCACGTTTGTTTGTACAGACTGAAGGGGTGACCTAGCAGATGCCTGTGGGGTCCCAGACCTTGGGAGATGGAAGTTCTGGGGGTCAGCTAGTAGCCCTGTTCAAGGCAGACACAGGGGAGTCTTCAACATGCATTCTTCGCTTCTCACCT